AAATAAAAAAAGAATATCCTGACCAGGAGCAAATGTGCTTTTCAGTTGGAAGAGCGCCATCTAGTGGAACAGAAATAAACTAAACATTGATATAACCTGATAAAGCACAATTTGGATTATAAATTATAATAAAAGAAAACAAGACCTAATCCAAATAATTTATTAGTGTGTGACGTTTCGGCAACAACATTGTCACCATCAAATTGTCTGATGATGGTGACAATGTTGTTGCCGAAACGTCACACACTAATAAATTATTTGGATTAGGTCTTGTTTTCTTTTATTGATATAACCTGTTCCCTGATATTTGGCCAACCCAATTTCTTGATAAATCAAGAAAAGTCATCCACGAACGCGTTTCACGCTGTTGGCGCTCGTCAGCGTGGAGTAGGCTGTACCACTGCGATCAAAAAGAATTTTGGTCCCAGAGGCTTCTTGAGAAACCAAGAAATGGGTTATATATATGTGTACAAATGTCTTCAGCAAGGAAGACTTCCCCACCTTGAGAGAGTTCTCCTCCAGACAATGTCTTCACTCCACGCAGAGAGAGTCCCACTTTATCATTGAAGTACTTGGACCAATCAGATCCATTTGTGAGGTTCGGTGGAAGGGTGATCTAAACCATTGGTTTTCAACCTCTAAGACCCGGGTTCGATTCCAGCATTGGGCACTTTTTTCTGATTGAAAAAATAAAATGCTCCAATGGCCCCCGATTCTTGCACAAGTCCAACCCCACCTGCTGAGTGCAAGTAACCAAATGGGGCTCTGGTACATTTGTAAGTGCAAAATCGAACTGATTTTCACATGTGTAGACATGTGGTGTACTTAGAGTAAAAGCAGTCGCCTACTTCTACCCACCATGATTATCATGGCTTGTACCATGTGTAGACATGTGGTGCACTCAGAGTAAAAGCCGTTGCCTACTTCTACCAACCATGATTATCATGGCCTGTACCATGTGTACTAGGGATAAGAAAAAAAGAAAAAGAAAAAGATCCATTTGTTCCGTCAGAGACTTTGTACCTCTGGTTCCATCTGAGACTCCCTGGTTAGACAAGAAAAACAGATGCACTATAGCTAACCCCACACTGGGAATTAATCAAACATCTTCTTCTTTCTTATCTCCACTCAATCATATTAGGGTGACAAGTTTGTTTGACAACCATCATGACTGTGTGAAGTAGAATGTGTCTGCCCTTGTCATTAAGACTGAGAGCACTACTCAGGCCACTGACTTAGCTCCAAAAGAAATGGCCGCCTCTGACATGAGGAACAGACACCATGTACACAGCCACTCCTAACATGGAGTACAAACTCATCCTGTATCCCTGGAGTCCTTACAGCTTGTACTATCAGCATGGCCAGCTGAGCCCAGGTTGTTTAGTGAGCTTGTTACTGCTCCCCCTTCTTTGTCATCCGGGCTTGGGACCGGCAAAGGCGGAGTTCCAATAAATTCCTGTAATTAATATCTGCTCCAATGTGTTGCATCTCAAGACATTGTCAGAAACAAGTTAAAATGTTCGACTCATAATAATGGTAGCTGTAAAATATTCAAGCATTTCACTACAGTAGAACAACCTCCTATATTATCAATGTCCAATTTAGCAACTCTCCAGTAAGAGGACACCTCTCTCTAAAGAACACTTTGGCTCTGTAACTAGGTGTTGTCCTTTACAGAGAGGTCGTTCTATTGTATTGGTGATGGAAACTGTCCTTTGTAGAGAGATGTCCTCTAGCGGGAGTGTCCTCTCATGGAGGTAGCCTACTGTATTGGTGATGGAAACTGTCCTTTGTAGAGAGGTGTCCTCTAGCGGGAGTGTCCTCTCATGGAGGTAGTTCTACTGTATTGGTGATGGAAACTGTCCTTTGTAGAGAGGTGTCCTCTCACAGAGGTAGTTCTACTGTATTGGTCAAAATGATGCTTTGAATTTCTTCACTTGAACAATACTGTATTGGTGATGGAAACTGTCCTTTGTAGAGAGGTGTCCTCTAGCGGGATTGTCCTCTCGTGGAGGTAGTTCTACTGTATTGGTGATGGAAACTGTCCTTTGTAGAGAGATGTCCTCTAGCGGGAGTGTCCTCTCATGGAGGTAGTTCTACTGTATTGGTGATGGAAACTGTCCTTTGTAGAGAGGTGTCCTCTCATGGAGGTAGTTCTACTGTATTGGTGATGGAAACTGTCCTTTGTAGAGAGGTGTCCTCTCACAGAGGTAGTTCTACTGTATTGGTGATGGAAACTGTCCTTTGTAGAGAGGTGTCCTCTAGCAGGAGTGTCCTCTCATGGAGGTAGTTCTACTGTATTGGTGATGGAAACTGTCCTTTGTAGAGAGGTGTCCTCTCATGGAGGTAGTTCTACTGTATTGGTGATGGAAACTGTCCTTTGTAGAGAGGTGTCCTCTCACAGAGGTAGTTCTACTGTATTGGTGATGGAAACTGTCCTTTGTAGAGAGGTGTCCTCTAGCAGGAGTGTCCTCTCATGGAGGTAGTTCTACTGTATTGGTGATGGAAACTGTCCTTTGTAGAGAGGTGTCCTCTAGCAGGAGTGTCCTCTCATGGAGGTAGTTCTACTGTATTGGTGATGGAAACTGTCCTTTGTAGAGAGGTGTCCTCTCACAGAGGTAGTTCTACTGTATTGGTGATGGAAACTGTCCTTTGTAGAGAGATGTCCTCTAGCGGGAGTATCCTCTCATGGAGGTAGTTCTACTGTATTGGTGATGGAAACTGTCCTTTGTAGAGAGGTGTCCTCTAGCGGGAGTGTCCTCTCATGGAGGTAGTTCTACTGTATTGGTGATGGAAACTGTCCTTTGTAGAGAGGTGTCCTCTCATGGAGGTAGTTCTACTGTATTGGTGATGGAAACTGTCCTTTGTAGAGAGGTGTCCTCTCACAGAGGTAGTTCTACTGTATTGGTGATGGAAACTGTCCTTTGTAGAGAGGTGTCCTCTAGCAGGAGTGTCCTCTCATGGAGGTTGTTCCACTGTATTGGTGATGGAAACTGTCCTTGGTAGAGAGGTGTCCTCTAGCGGGAGTGTCCTCTCATGGAGGTAGTTCTACTGTATTGGTGATGGAAAATGTCCTTTGTAGAGGGGTGTCCTCTAGCGGGAGTGTCCTCTCACAGAGGTAGTTCTACTGCAGTGATTCTCAACCTTTTTTTTGTTGCGGCATTATTTTAAAGATTTGAAAATTTGGCGGCACAATTTTAGAATTTCGCGGCACACTTTTGCTAACTTGAATGCAAGAAAATTCAAATTATGTATCAATATTTCTATGCAAAATATAAGTAATATACATCTCTAACATTCAATTTGCTAATTTCGTTATTTTAAAAAGTAAAAAATGAAAAAGAAAAAAAGAAAAACCAATACAAACGTGAACATAATCATATGACTAAAATTCGGCGGCACATTTTTAGAATTTCGCGGCACACAAAATTACCGCGGCACATTGGTTGAGAATCACTGTTCTACTGTATTGGTGATGGAAAATGTCCTTTGTAGAGAGGTGTGCTCTAGCGGGAGTGTTCTCTCATGGAGGTTGTTCTACTGTATTGGTGATGGAAACTGTCCCTTGTAGAGAGGTGTCCTCTAGCGGGAGTATACTGTACAGTATAAGTTGACCATCCCATGTAATGTCCAGAGCTCTATCAACAGAAGGATGTCTCTGAAGAACGTAAACAAGCCTTTGACGTGGCCAACCGCTACCACTTCCTCCACACCCTGGCTCTGCTGGCCGTTCCTCTGGCTGGCAAACCTTACCTGGTACGTAGGCTGGGAGACATGTGATTCACACCTTTAAAACTCTCAAGTTCCCAGATACCTTAATATTACATATCCCTGGACACTTTATTTTTTCCGTTTATCATTACTCTTCACAATTCATCCTTTCATACTTCATCCCTAAGGTTAGAAATAATCGTTATTTCTCCTTAAAATAAATATCGTGATTTTGTAGAACATAATCTGGTTATTGCATTTTTAATTTGAATTAATAATAAATTACAATTTGGATTATAGAAATAAAATAATACCAAATCCAAATAAATATTGGCCCAGCCACTTTGCCAGCTAAAACACCTCTTTGTCAGATTGTGAAGATTCCATTAGATCCCGTGTGGATCTCATCAAAGTCCGCCCTAGACTGACGAGGGCCATTAGCCAGAAACCATGGTCTCTAGGTGAATACTTCTCAGTTTGTCAAAGCTGGTGTTGTGTCACCGACCTGAGACCGCTAATTTGTGACGACAGTCAATAGATGGAGCCTAGTTTTGACATCTATTTTGACGGGAGAGGTGACCTTTGTCTCTTTAGATCAATATCTTTTTGGCAAAATTTCCATCTATTATTTATATGTGAAAAAATATTTAAAAAAGGTCAGGTGTTTGTCATTAAAATCAGTAAAGGCATATCTTTACCAGGTTCACATGAACTTTTAGATGACAGAGCGCCATCTAGTGGAACAGAAATATAGACAGGTTTAACTGTATATGGATTTTTTATATGAATCTTATATTCGGGGGTTTTTAGATTGTTGAATGTAAATTTTACTTACAAAAAAAAAAAAAGAAGAATGAAATATCATTATTAGCAAATATGCTTATTTTATTTTAAACAAATTTAACTTTATTATATGATATTGTTGGCAAATGAGTTTATAAAAAAAAAACACATTTAACCAACAAAAAAATAAAAAATAAAACTATATACAACAGAACAAAAAAAAAAAACTTTTGGTTTTTTGGTCAAATTTGAAAAAATATTTACAAATTATAAAAAAATTAATTGAATATAATATATATATATATATATATATATATATGGTAATTTAAAATACAATATAATGCGGCAGATGATTGTAAAACGAAAATTGCAATTATACCACGAATGTTTCTTTTTAAACAAAAATCGAAATTTATTTCAAAGAGAAATAACGACTATTTCTAACTTTAAGGATGAAGTATGAAAGGGTGAAAATATGAAGAGTAATGGGGAACGGAAAAATAAAATAAAAGTGTCCAGTGTACATGGCATCTGCCCGGTAAGCGGAAGGTCGTGGGTTCGATTCCCGCCCCTGGACACTTTTATTTTTCCGTTCGCCATTACTCTTCATATTTTCACCCTTTCATACTTCATCCTTAAAGTTAGAAATAGTCGTTATTTCTCTTTGAAATAAATTTCGATTTTTGTTTAAAAAGAAACATTCGCGGTATAATTGCAATTTTCGTTTTATATATATATATGAAAAAAAAACCATAGAAAAATACAAGGTAATAAGACCAAATCCAAATAAATAAATAGTGTGTGACGTTGGATTTTGTCTTATTACCTTGTGTCTATAATCTATAATCCAAATTGTACCTTATCATTCAGTACTTTTGTCTGAAGATGGTAACAACACTGTTACTGAAACATCACACACTATTTATTTATTTGGTGTCTTATTACCTTGTGTTTATAATCTATAATCCAAATTGTACCTTATCATTCAGTACTTTTGTCTGAAGATGGTAACAACACTGTTACTGAAACATCACACACTATTTATTTGGATATGGTGTCTTATTACCTTGTGTTTATAATCTATAATCCAAATTGTACCTTATCATTCAGTACTTTTGTCTGAAGATGGTAACAACACTGTTACTGAAACATCACACACTATTTGGATTTGGTGTCTTATTACCTTGTGTTTATAATCTACTAGCCGAATGACCCGGGCAACGCCCGTGTTTTACCCGATTGAATGTTTTGATTCAAATACTATTTGTTACAATTATAAATTGGCGCCTTAATTAATTGCATATGTTAGTTAATAACTATAGCCTATGTGCTTTATCTGTCTATGTACTGTTGGCTTCTGTAGGCGTCTCTTACTGGGAAAAAGAAAGAGAGGATTCCATTTGGTTATTATCTAATATATGCATTTATTTAGGGAGCGACCCGCTCCAACACAATAGTTAAATGGCGAGTGGGGGGGGGGGGCAAAGGTGACGTGACCGTAGCCAACCAATAGCAGGGCGCCATTCCAAAAAAAAAGCAAACGGTGACAGAGTTGGTTGATTGATTAGGAGATGAGGAATGACGCTCGTAACTGTATATAGAATAATCCAAATTGCACCTTATCAATAGAAAAAAAAAAAAGTGGGTCAGGTGTTGATATTAAAAATAAAGAAGGCATCTCCTGACCACGAGCACATGTGCTTTTTAAATGACAGAGCACCATCTAGTGGAACAGTAATATAGACAGGTTTAACTGTATATTGTTTTTTTTTTATATGAATATATTCTAAATAACCCACAAATTGTCCATGTGACATGTCTGTACAGGTCGGAGGTCTGATGACCAGTGGAGTTCTCATGTTCAGTGGACCCTGCTACCACTTTGCTCTCACTGGGAGTCGCCTGATGAAGCCTGTCACTCCGTACGGAGGAACTCTGCTGATCCTGGCTTGGCTGGCCTTCCTCATCTGAACACCCTTAACTACACTACACTACACTACAGTATATCTACCCCCTGTAGACCAATAAATATAACTGTTCCAGCTGATAACACAGGTGTGAGACACTTGTAGTTACTCTACACCACTATGTCCCTTTCCCACCCTAGACATGAGCTGGCAGACTCTCTGGCAAAGGCTGGAGCTCTTGGCCTACCTGAAGCCAGAGAATCTACCATTCAACTAGACGAAAGAGACCTCCTCCGTACCATCAAAATCCAATGTCTGGAGGAATTGAAATCTAATGCTGCACATGACTGGTACAGAGCAGGAGGGATAATTCTGTCCTCCCAAGGGAACAACTGATTTCCAGACTTAAGTCTTCTACGGACAATGACAGAATGGTTACAAGGTTTCCCCACTATGTACTAAGTGTCAACCTGCAACCCCAAAACACATTATTAACTGTATTGACTCATCCATTGATGAGCTCTACTCTTCCCCGGCAGACACCATCAACAAGGTTTACAAGCTTGATACCTTAGTGTGATTGAGTGAGATAAAAAAGAAGAATATGAACTTCTTAGTAACATATCACTCTCAACTACAAGGTAATAAGACACCAAATAAATAAATAGTGTGTGATGTTTCAGTAACTGTGTTGTTACCATTTTCAGACAAAAACATTCAGTATTTTGTCTGATGATGGTAACAACACTGTTAATGAAACATCACACACTATTTATATATGTGGTGTCTTATTACCTTGTGTTTATAATCTATAATCCACTAATTAAGTTTTTTCATGATAATCTCAAGGAATGGGTTGTAGAGAGGCAGCTTTCGTTGATCATGGAACCATAATCTCCATAACCTCAACTTTGCCATTACTGGTCCCAATTCAGGATAAAAAAGGAGGAGGGGGAGCAGTAACAAGCTCACTAAACAACCTGGGCTCAGCTGGCCATGCTGATAGTACCAGCTGTAAGGTCTCCAGGGATACAGGATGTACTCCATGTTGGCTGTACATGGTGTCTGCTCCTCATGTCACCATTTCATATTGGAGCTAAGCCAGTGGCCTGAGTAGTGCTCCCAGTCTTAATGACAAAGGGGATACAGGATGTACTCCATGTTGGCTGTACATGGTGTCTGTTCCTCATGTCATATTGGAGCTAAGTCAGTGGCCTGAGTAGTGCTCCCAGTCTTAATAACAAAGGGGATACAGGATATACTCCATGTTGGCTGTACATGGTGTCTGTTCCTCATGTCATATTGGAGCTAAGTCAGTGGCCTGAGTAGTGCTCCCAGTCTTAATAACAAAGGGGATACAGGATGTACTCCATGTTGGCTGTACATGGTGTCTGTTCCTCATGTCATATTGGAGCTAAGTCAGTGGCCTGAGTAGTGCTCCCAGTCTTAATGACAAAGGGGATACAGGATGTACTCCATGTTGGCTGTACATGGTGTCTGTTCCTCATGTCATATTGGAGCTAAATCAGTGGCCTGAGTAGTGCTCCCAGTCTTAATAACAAAGGGGATACAGGATGTACTCCATGTTGGCTGTACATGGTGTCTGTTCCTCATGTCATATTGGAGCTAAGTCAGTGGCCTGAGTATTGCTCCCAGTCTTAATAACAAAGGGGATACAGGATATACTCCATGTTGGCTGTACATGGTGTCTGTTCCTCATGTCATATTGGAGCTAAGTCAGTGGCCTGAGTAGTGCTCCCAGTCTTAATAACAAAGGGGATACAGGATGTACTCCATGTTGGCTGTACATGGTGTCTGTTCCTCATGTCATATTGGAGCTAAGTCAGTGGCCTGAGTAGTGCTCCCAGTCTTAATGACAAAGGGGATACAGGATGTACTCCATGTTGGCCGTAGATGGTGTCTGTTCCTCATGTCATATTGGAGCTAAGTCAGTGGCCTGAGTAGTGCTCCCAGTCTTAATGACAAAGTGGATACAGGATGTACCTCATGTTGGCTGTACATGGTGTCTGTTCCTCATGTCATATTGGAGCTAAGTCAGTGGCCTGAGTAGTGCTCCCAGTCTTAATGACAAAGTGGATACAGGATGTACTCCATGTTGGCTGTACATGGTGTCTGTTCCTCATGTCATATTGGAGCTAAGTCAGTGGCCTGAGTAGTGCTCCCAGTCTTAATGACAAAGGGGATACAGGATGTACTCCATGTTGGCTGTACATGGTGTCTGTTCCTCATGTCATATTGGAGCTAAGTCAGTGGCCTGAGTAGTGCTCCCAGTCTTAATGACAAAGGGGATACAGGATGTACTCCATAATGGCTGTACATGGTGTCTGTTCCTCATGTCATATTGGAGCTAAGTCAGTGGCCTGAGTAGTGCTCCCAGTCTTAATGACAAAGGGGATACAGGATGTACTCCATGTTGGCTGTACATTGTGTCTGTTCCTCATGTCATATTGGAGCTAAGTCAGTGGCCTGCTACTGAGTAGTGCTCCCAGTCTTAATGTCAAAGGGGATACAGGATGTACTCCATGTTAGGAGTGGCTGTACATGGTGTCTGTTCCTCATGTCATATTGGAGCTAAGTCAGTGGCCCAAGTAGTGCTCCCAGTCTTAATGACAAAGGGGATACAGGATGTACTCCATGTTGGCTGTACATGGTGTCTGTTCCTCATGTCATATTGGAGCTAAGTCAGTGGCCTGCTACTGAGTAGTGCTCCCAGTCTTAATGTCAAAGGGGATACAGGATGTACTCCATAATGGCTGTACATGGTGTCTGTTCCTCATGTCATATTGGAGTTAAGTCAGTGGCCTGAGTAGTGCTCCCAGTCTTAATGACAAAGGGGATACAGGATGTACTCCATGTTGGCTGTACATTGTGTCTGTTCCTCATGTCATATTGGAGCTAAGTCAGTGGCCTGCTACTGAGTAGTTCTCCCAGTCTTAATGACAAAGGGGATACAGGATGTACTCCATGTTGGCTGTACATGGTGTCTGTTCCTCATGTCATATTGGAGCTAAGTCAGTGGCCTGAGTAGTGCTCCCAGTCTTAATGACAAAGGGGATACAGGATGTACTCCATGTTGGCTGTACATGGTGTCTGTTCCTCATGTCATATTGGAGCTAAGTCAGTGGCCTGCTACTGAGTAGTGCTCAGGCCACTGACTTAGCTCCAATATGACATGAGGAACAGACACCATGTACAGCCATTATGGAGTACATCCTGTATCCCCTTTGTCATTAAGACTGGGAGCACTACTCAGGCCACTGACTTAGCTCCAATATGACATGAGAAACAGACACCATCTACGGCCAACATGGAGTACATTCTGTATCCCCTTTGTCATTAAGACTGGGAGCACTACTCAGGCCACTGACTTAGCTCCAATATGACATGAGGAACAGACACCATGTACAGCCAACATGGAGTACATCCTGTATCCCCATTGTCATTAAGACTGGGAGCACTACTCAGGCCACTGACTTAGCTCCAATATGACATGAGGAACAGACACCATGTACAGCCACTCCTAACATGGAGTACATCCTGTATCCCCTTTGTCATTAAGACTGGGAGCACTACTCAGGCCACTGACTTAGCTCCAATATGACATGAGGAACAGACACCATGTACAGCCAACATGGAGTAAATCCTGTATCCCTGGAG